GATATTCTAGCTGCAACGGCTTGCAAATTAGTGGTGATTTGTACCGGCAAGGATGAGATGTGATTTGAAACTACAATAGCCACACCTCAACTGGCACGGTTGTGGCTATCATCATCCTTGCGGTAAAGATCGAATCCTTTTAAAGAAGTATTTTCTCCAGGTTTTAGATGAGTCTCCTGGAGTGCCACACAGAGAGATGAGGTAGATGACACCAAGTGTTTAATGTCAGAGAAGTTGTTGCGGAAACCACGACAGTTCCATTGGATTATTTTATAATCCATTATGTGTTTGAGGCAGCATTCTTTGCAAGGTTGTTCCTCTTTAATTTTACAGGGGGTTTTTCTTTTGGAGGTGATGTTGGTGGTGTCACCCCCTTATTATTCTCTTCATCAGAGAAGTCAGAGAACTCGCTCATAGACTGAGTCTCTGATTTTTTAGTTTTAGACAGGGCTGCTTTTATTCTTTGTTTATTAAGTGGGTTCTTACTGGCTTTTTTGGAACCCACATTCCTAGTTGTTACCCCTGTTTTAGGTATGAGTGGTTTTGCTTTGTTATTCTCTTTTTCTGTTGCTTTGGTAGATGGTATCAGCAGACATTTTTCATGGCGAGTCAGAGATTCATCGGGTGAAACAGAAATGTCTGTCTGAACTCCACATGTCTTTGTGGATTTCAGAGCAGCAGCGAATGTCTTTTGTTTCACTGGTGTATTTAAGGTGACCATACGACGTGCCTCCGGGTAGGATATATTATTAATAGTCTTCAATCGCTGAATTTCTTTCTCTCTCTGCCATGAAGGGCATTTCCGAGAGTAGGCAGGATGAGCATCTTTGCAGTTCACACAGCATGGAGAACTTGTGCATTCATTACTCTCATGGTCTTCATTTCCACACTGTGCACATGCTTTTTTTCCTCTGCATGATGTTTGGGAGTGTCCAAACCGCTGACATTTAAAGCAACGTAGCGGGTTTGGGATGTATGGGCGAACTGGGCAACGGAGNTGAAGAAAGTTATTTTAGAATTTTTAAATAATATAGATTTAGACATCACTAACTGTTGGGGACAGAGTTATGATAATGCGTTTAATATGTCAGATAAATATAAGGGACTCCAATCCAGAATAAAACAACATATTTTTTCTGTCCATTTTATACCATGCGCAAATCATTCATTAAATTTAATTGGAAACGCTGCTGCCGAAAGTTGCATGGAAATGACCAGTTTTTCAATATCGTTCAGGAATTGTACGTATTTTTTCAAGTTCTACACATAGGTGGAATGCATTACAAAAATTTTGTAAGAGCAAACACTTGAGTATTAAACCTATTTGTGACACCAAATGGTCTGCTCGTTCCGATGCTGTGAAATCCTTAAAAGAAAATTATGAAAAAATTAAACATTGTTTACATCATTTTTCCTCAAAGAAAGATGAAAAACCATTAACAAGGTCCGAAGCTGCCGATTTACATAAAAAACTTGATACATTTGAGTATGTACTGTTACTATATGGGAAAATATTTTAGAGAGAATAGATGCTTCAAACAAGACTCTTCAACAAAAAGACGAATCCCTAAATATAGCAGTTTTAATATACGATTTATTGATAGATTTCATACAAACTGTTAGAGATGATTTTGACAATTTAGAAATAGAAGCAGCAAAAGTTAAAGATATTGCATATACTAATGATAAAAAACAGCAGAAAATATGAAAACTATTTCATAATGAAATTCCAAAACATGAAATAAGATTCAGTGGCAAAAAACATTTTAAAGTTAATATTTTTTTGTTGTATGCGATTCTTTAATTAGCAACATTAAAAAAAGATCTGAGTGATATAGAACTATTAACAATAAATTCAAAACAATTTTACATGATAGTGATGTTAGTGACTCTTCAATAGAAAAATTAAAATGTTATGAACAAGATTTAAACCTAGCAGAACTGAGAAATGAAGTATTACAATTTAAGACTTTTATAAGTAAAGAAAATATTATGTTGCCTGTGTGAAATCCGCGATCTTTACGCCGATGTCGGAAAAATCTTTGTAAACAACTCCGATGGAAAAACCCACTCTTGGTGAGAAGTATATCGGTTGGTTGGTTAACTTTAATTGGCACAAAAGCCATACAGGCTATACTGCGCCACAACACATGGTGCAATTCGAAGTAGAAAATAAATAGGAAGACATATATACACATAAACAAAACATCACAGTTTAACCATTAAACAGCCAATGGTAATATAAATATAAAATGTATAATATAATGAATAAATAAGTAACAACAAAAATAAATAAACAAACAACAACAAAATATATATACAATAATTTATATATGCAACTAAACGTAAATAAAACTGTACAATAATTAATTCATCAGATTTCCCTATACATATTAATGACTTTTAGAAAGTCCAGTATATTATCCAGATTTGGCCTCTGGCCCAAAATGTCTCTAAGGCTTGCATTTCCGAAATGCTGTCTACGACTCTGATCAGAAGCAACACAGTTGCAAAATATGTGTTTAACACTTACAGCACAGTTGCAGTGCTGACATACTGGTTCGTCATCTCCCTTCAAAAGGTATTGATGAGTCAGTCGAGTGTGTCCAATTCTCAGACGAGTAAGGATAACCTCAGATCTCCTATCATATTGCCTATTATGTGTCCAATTTTCTACCAAAGGTTTGATCTCGTAAAGTTTATTGTGGATTTGTGCATTCCACATGATTTGCCATCTCTCGGCTAGTCGTTTTTTAACAACTAGCTTCAAATCACCTCCTTCAATACGCATTGTATGCTGTGAAGGGCTTGCTGACTTAGCAGCTGTATCAGCTTCTTCATTACCTCTTATACCCACGTGGCCTGGGACCCAACAGAACTTCACAAATAAATTTCTTGTAGTGAGATGACAAATTAGTTTCTGAATTTTAATAACTAGAGAGTGAGAACTAGGTTCATACGAGATCAAAGCCTGAAGTGCACTAACTGAGTCAGTGTAAATCACGCAGCAACGATGACCTTTCCGATTTATATGCTTTAAGGCTAAGTAAATAGCCTGCAACTCCGCAGAAAAGATGGAAGAATTCGGTGCTATTTGTTCTGCCACAATTTCATCCTGGCAAACAAAGGCTAAGCCAACATAGTTATCCGACTTAGATCCATCGGTGTATATAGGAATTAAATTCCTGTTACAATGCTGAATTTCTGCGAAGTGCTGTCTATAGACGTAGTCTGGCGTGGTTTCTTTAGGGAACTGCTTTAAGCTTAAATCAACATCGATCGGTGAAGATGACCAAGGTGAAATACTATTAACCTCAACATGTGAGATGTTGCTTGTGTCTAGGTCAATCGTGCTGCTTACATTCTCCATTCTTATGTCGAATGTGGGGACACAACTCGTCCGAGCGGCAAATAATCTTTTCAGCTGAGTATCTGAACAATCAGCTGTAAGTTTTTTCTGAGATTTTTGTTTAATGTAATAGAAGAGAGACAACTGTTCTCTCCTGAGAGATAGTGAAGGCTCATAAGCATCCACATACAAACTTTGAACAGGGGAAGTTCGAAATGCACCGGTGCACAAACGCAAAGCTTGATGATGGATTGGATCCAGCATCCGAAGAGTAGATTCTCGCGCAGAGCCATAAACAATGCAACCGTAGTCCAGCTTAGAGCGAACAAGGGCCCTATAAATCCTGAGCATCGAAACTTTGTCTGCTCCCCAGGATGAGCAGCATAGTACCTTTAAAAGGTTTAAAGATTTTAAACATCTACTCTTCAGGTTGCGCAAGTGTGGCAAAAATGTCAGTTTTTGGTCAAAACAAACACCCAAAAACTTAGCCTCATTCACAATTGGGATTTTAACCCCATTTAAATATATTTCAGGATCCAGGTGCAAACCACGCCTTCGGCAGAAGTGGATGCACGAGGTCTTCTCTATGTTGAAACTAAAACCATTAATCTTGGACCAATTGTCTATTCGATTTAGGGAGGTTTGCAGTTGTCTCTCAATGAAACTCATGTTGCTAGACTGGCAGGAGATCTGAAAGTCATCCACATACAAAGAGTGTTTCACACTGGGAGGAAGACACTTAGCTATGCTATTAATTTTAATTAGGAACAGAGTCACACTCAAAATACATCCTTGAGGAACACCTTCTTCTTGGACAAAAGACCTAGATAGAGTGTTGCCCATCCTGACTTGGAATCTTCGATTCTGCAAAAAGTTTTTTATAAAAATTGGCAAATTACCCCGCAATCCGAATTCATGTAGATCACGAAGTATTCCGTAACGCCAGCAGCGATCATAGGCCTTCTCTATATCAAAGAATACAGACACTAAGTGTTGTCGTCTAACAAACGCTTCGCGTATGGATGTTTCAAGTTTTACTAGATTATCCGTGGTACTTCTGTTCCTACGAAATCCACTCTGATGTGGTGAAAAGTAGTTCTTTTCCTCTAAGAGATACATCAGACGTCTGTTTATCATCCTCTCAAAAAGTTTACACAGGCAACTTGTCAGAGAGATTGGTCTGTAATTAGAGGGATTCTTGCGGTCTTTACCAGGTTTTGGAATAGGGATAATAATTGATAATCTCCAAGAGTCAGGGAAATTATTTTCTGTCCATATTCTGTTAAACAGGTGCAAGAGATTAGAAAGGGAACTGTTTGACAGATTTTTAATCATGCTGTAGTGGATTTTATCTGGGCCTACAGCACTATTCCTCGAGCGAGAGAGCGCTGTTTGTAATTCAATTCTAGTGAATGGCACATTATATTCCTCATTAGATAAGGAATGAAAGTTTAAACACTGTTTTTCTCTTTGGGCTTTATAAGCCTGAAAATTTCTTGAATACATAATATTGCTAGATGAAGTAGAAAACGTTTCACCCAACGTATCAGCAATACCCTGTATATTGCTGATTATTGTGCCATTATTTTCCAGCATGGACAGAGAGTGAGAAGCATATTTCCCATTGATTTTATGAATTTTATCCCAGACTGCTTTTGAGCTAGTGGAAGATGTTATGCTAGAAACATACTTCCTCCAAGAATCCCTTTGGCTTTGCCTTCTTATTCTTCTGGCATTTGCCTTTGCTTTTTTAAAAGCAATCAAATTTCTAGCAGTGGGGTATCTTCTGAAAATCCCCCATGCTTTCTTTTGTGCTTTAAATGCTGCCTCGCAATTCTGGTTCCACCATGGTTTCGGATGCTTTGGATATCTTGTTGATGTCTTTCCCATTGTTTTCTCAGCTGCCTGAATAATACACAAAGTGACAATTTCAACTGCATCATTGATATCAGCAGTATTGACCATTTCCTCAGTGATGTTAGCCAAAGAGGAAAATGCAGGCCAATCTGCCGTTTCCAGTTTCCAGCGTGGTGGACGGGCTGTTTCACAGCTTTCTCTGCCTCGATATTTTAGAAATATTGGGAAGTGGTCACTAGAGAGTGGATTAGATCCAACCTCCCATGTAAATGCTGAAAACAGATTCGGAGTTGCTAATGATAGATCAATGGCAGTGAACGTTCTTGATGGGGCATGGAAGTATGTCACTTCTCCAGTATTAAATAGATACAGTTGGTGATTACCTATAAATCTCTCGATGGCTCTGCCTCGACGATTGATGTCAGGACTGCCCCACATAGGATTGTGACCATTGAAGTCACCCAGTAAAAGAAATGGTGTTGGTAGCTGTTCAACCAAAGTATCCAATTCATTCTCATTCACTCTGACATCTGGTGGCAAGTATATAGAACAAACTGTGACAGTTACTCCAATAGATATTCTAGCTGCCACGGCTTGCAAATTAGTGGTGATTTGTACCGGCAAGGATGGGATGTGATTTGAAACTACAATAGCCACACCTCCACTGGCACGGTTGTGGCTATCATCATCCTTGCGGTAAAGATTGAATCCTTTTAAAGAAATATTTTCTCCAGGTTTTAGATGAGTCTCCTGGAGTGCCACACAGAGAGATGAGGTAGATGACGTCAAGTGTTTAATGTCAGAGAAGTTGTTGCGGAAACCACGACAGTTCCATTGGATTATTTTATAATCCATTATGTGTTTGAGGCAGCATTTTTAGCAAGGTTGTCCCTCTTTAATTTCACAGGGGGTTTTTCTTTTGGAGGTGATGTTGGTGGTGTCACCCCCTTATTATTCTCTTCATCAGAGAAGTCAGAGAACTCGCTCATAGACTGAGTCTCTGATTTTTTAGTTTTAGACAGGGCTGCTTTTATTCTTTGTTTATTAAGTGGGTTCTTACTGGCTTTTTTGGAACCCACATTCCTAGTTGTTACCCCTGTTTTAGGTATGAGTGGTTTTGCTTTGTTATTCTCTTTTTCTGTTGCTTTGGTAGATGGTATCAGCAGACATTTTTCATGGCGAGTCAGAGATTCATCGGGTGAAACAGAAATGTCTGTCTGAACTCCACATGTCTTTGTGGATTTCAGAGCAGCAGCGAATGTCTTTTGTTTCACTGGTGTATTTAAGGTGACCATACGACGTGCCTCCGGGTAGGATATATTATTAATAGTCTTCAATCGCTGAATTTCTTTCTCTCTCTGCCATGAAGGGCATTTCCGAGAGTAGGCAGGATGAGCATCTTTGCAGTTCACACAGCATGGAGAACTTGTGCATTCATTACTCTCATGGTCTTCATTTCCACACTGTGCACATGCTTTTTTTCCTCTGCATGATGTTTGGGAGTGTCCAAACCGCTGACATTTAAAGCAACGTAGCGGGTTTGGGATGTATGGGCGAACTGGGCAACGGAGATATCCTGCCGCAACAGAAGATGGCAATGTTGGTTTGTTGAAAGTCAAAATAAGGTGTTTCGTTGGTATCAACTTGCCATCTCGACGGATTGAAATTCGTCGAACAGCAGTGACACCTTGGTCTGAAAGACCGATCTGAATATCCGATTCATCCTCAGACATCAGATCGCTTTCAGATATCACACCACGTGATGAGTTCAAATTTGTGTGTGGTGTGATGGTTACCATTATGTCTCCTAGAGACTTCATTTTCAGAAGCTTTGCTGACTGTTGAGGGGAGGCTGCTTCTACAAGTAGATCTCCTGACCTCAATTTTTGAATTTTTTTCAGATTCCCAACGGTCGATTCAAACAATTTTTGAATCAAAAAAGGGGAGCGTTTAGATAGGGGTGTTTCTCCCATGGCATGAACGATAAGGTAGGCTGGTGGTAATGCATCAGTACATGTTTTAGGTTTTAATGAATCCATATTTAGATTTTAAAATTCAGCTCCTAGTGACCCCACCCACCATGGGGCCCAACAAGGGGATGCCGTCACATGGGAGACTCCCATAGACCGTCACACCAGGGTTTCCCAGGAGCTATACCCTCACAATGCAGTCAAGAAGAGCACATCTTGTATGACATGTCCGCCCGGTCTGCATCGATCGGTTGACTCCAAGCCGAGGTCAAAACTGACTCAACGACCAGCCGATTGACTCAAACGGAGCCTGATTTGAGCCTCCCGTTTATCCGAAGCAGGGGCCAAAGTAGTGTGTTGGGGACGTTATGTTGCACCTCAACTACCAGGATCCCCCTTTCCGGCATACAGGACACCACGTACGGCAAACACGTGGGTGGGCGTTCAGATCCCAGGGATGGTAAAGAGGAGTTTGTAAACCATCTCTGGGAGGTCCCCTCACCACGGACAGGAACCAACATCGAGGGGGAAAAGTATATCGGAGGTCACTGATTGTTTTCACATTATGATGGGAAAGTTGACAGTTAGTTGATCGGAATGCACCGTTAAGTGTCAACTGAAGTCGATCACGTGACTCATTTCCCACGAATAACGTATAAAAGCTTGAGTCCCCGGAAGCTCCGGGCGATCCCTCGGAAGTTATACTTGGTAGATGTGCCATATTTGTCTCCATACTCCGGACCGAAAGGACATACGACCAACCACAGCCGTTTGAACTTCCATCGCCTTTAACGAACATATTCAACAAACGCATTTTAGACATATTGGCATACAGGTATCTGTACTTTTTAGAGCTTCGTGAACTCTCTCTCAGACTAGCAGGTAAAGCTATTAGAGCGTCCCTTTTGTACAGTGAATTTATTTAATCGCATTTAACCTATGTATCCTAGCTTAGTTATATAAATAAATGCTTGTTTTGTTTTTAAACCTGTCTCCTGTCTCTGAAGGACACCTGCCGACTTACCAACGCACTCCCCACTCAAATTTTTGTCCTCCTAGCCATCCGACTAGCCGAGAACAGGTTTTACCAACCTGTTGCAGCGTAAGTGGTCATTTCGGATGAGCCCAGTGGCCCACTGCTAATCTCACACCTGTATCCATGTGGTCGTTTATTCAGGAAAATAATATTATTGCAACACTCCCTAATTTAAACATAATTCTGAGAATTTATTTAACACTTCCAATAAGCAATGCAAGCGGTGAAAGATCATTTTATTGCTGAAGATGTCTCCCTTTAGAATAAAATCGACCTGTCCGAGCGATTTGCTTGGACAAACACAATAATTCTGCTGTTTCGTTTTCGTTGGCTCACCCTGTATATTTGTTTTATTAATAGGTTACAACAATTCAACCTTCATGGGAGGAGAGCTGAAAAAAAACAACAGCTGACAGTATGAAACAAATTTGATAGGCTGGGCTTTCCTAGACCTGTCGATGGACCATGGCCGACTGGTCTGTTGTCACTTTTAGCAATCAATCTTTATTAAACATATGTGGTACATACATTCTCGGTTCTGCATAGCATAGCTGAGATAAATACAACATGAATGATGAATAAGATTACATAATGATTACTTATCTCATTGTTATTGTCAAAATATAAGTATAAGAAGATACAATGCAATAAAGACAATATATAATACATGAAAGTGCATATGATAATAGCAATTAAGTACATAATTATTTGTGCAGTCTGTTACAGCAATAGCTGCATTACAATAGTAAAAATTAAATAATTAATTAAGATTATACCTAAATTGTAGTAGTGTCAAAGCAAAGATACAGAATACGTACAAACATATCAATAATATATTGGTTGGTTGGTTTAAGATTTTTGGCACAAAAGCCGTACAGGCTATGCTGCGCCGTCCCACACAGTGAAATTACGAACAGGTCATATATAAATGTTAAAAAGTTAATAACAAAAACAAACATATCAGTAAGAATAAACAAAACAGCAAGGTATATAAAAGTATATATATATAAATAAATAAGTAAATAAATAAATAACTAAATCATCAAATTTGTTTATAAATATTAGTGACTTTCAGAAAGTCCAGAAATTTATTGACATTTGGCCTTTGGCCAAGAATCCCTGTCAGACAAGCATTTTTGAAATACTGTCTACGCTTTGTCTTGAAGGCACACCAATTCCACAGTATGTGTTTTATGCTCAGAAAGCAGTTCCAAGTCTGGCTAGTCTTCACCCCTCAAAAAGTATTAATGAGTCAACCGAGTATGCCCAATTCTCAAACGACTAAGAATAACTTCAGATCTCCTGTCATACTGTTTATCATGTGCCCAATTTTCTACCATCGGTTTGATCTCGTGTAGTTTATTGTGGATTTGTGCATTCCACATATTTTGCCATCTCTCTGCTAGTTTTTCTTAATGACTAGCTTCAAATCACCTCCTTCAATACGCAATGTATGCTGTGAAGAACTAGCTGACTTTGCAGCTGCATCAGCTTCTTCANTTAGATCCATCGGTGTATATAGGAATTAAATTCCTGTTACAATGCTGAATTTCTGCGAAGTGCTGTCTATAGACGTAGTCTGGCGTGGTTTCTTTAGGGAACTGCTTTAAGCTTAAATCAACATCGATCGGTGAAGATGACCAAGGTGAAATACTATTAACCTCAACATGTGACATGTTGCTTGTGTCTAGGTCAATCGTGCTGCTTACATTCTCCATTCTTATGACGAATGTGGGGACAAAACTTGTCCGAGCGGCAAATAATCTTTTCAGCTGAGTATCTGAACAATCAGCTGTAAGTTTTTTCTGAGATTTTTGTTTAATGTAATAGAAGAAAGACAACTGTTCTCTCCTGAGAGATAGTAAAGGCTCATAAGCATCCACATACAAACTTTCAACAGGAAAAGTTCGAAATGCACCGGTGCACAAACGCAAAGCTTGATGGTGGATTGGATCCAGCATCCGAAGAGTATTTTCTCGCGCAGACCCATAAACAATGCAACCGTAGTCCAGCTTAGAGCGNCTCACAGTCTGGCTAGTCTTCACCCCTCAAAAAGTATTAATGAGTCAACCGAGTATGCCCAATTCTCAAACGACTAAGAATAACTTCAGATCTCCTGTCATACTGTTTATCATGTGCCCAATTTTCTACCATCGGTTTGATCTCGTGTAGTTTATTGTGGATTTGTGCATTCCACATATTTTGCCATCTCTCTGCTAGTTTTTCTTAATGACTAGCTTCAAATCACCTCCTTCAATACGCAATGTATGCTGTGAAGAACTAGCTGACTTTGCAGCTGCATCAGCTTCTTCATTTCCTCTTATACCTACATGGCCTGGGACCCAACAAAATTTTACAGATAAATTCCTGGCAAGAAGATGGCAAAACAGTTTACGAATTTTAATCACTATGGAGTGAGAACTAGGTTCACACAAGATCAAAGTCTGAAGTGCACTGACTGAATCAGTGTAAATCACGCAGCAACGATAACCTTTTCTATTTATATACTTTAAGGCTAAATAAATAGCCTGCAACTCCGCAGTAAAGATAAAAGAATTCAGTGCTATTTGTTCTGCCAAAATTTAATTTTGGCAAACAAAGGCTAGGCCAACATAGTTATCCGATTTAGATCCATCAGTATAAATGGGAATTAAATTCCTGTTATGATGTTGAATTTCTGCAAAGTGTTGTCTATAGATGCAGTCTGGAATGGTTTATTTGGTGAACTACTTCAAGCTTAAATCAACATCTATCGCAAGAATTGATCAAAGTGGAATACTATTAACTTAAACTTGTAAATGTTGCCTGTGTTAAAGTCAATCGTGCTGCTTACATTCTCCATTCTTATGATTAATGTAGGGACGCAACTTTGGCAAGCTTCAAATAACCTTTTCAGCAGAGTATCTGATACTGTACTGTACAATAAACTGAAAATTTACTAACAGATTTTTGTTTTATATAATAAAAAAGAGACAACTGTTCTCACCTGAGAGATAGTGAAGGCTCATAAGCATCCACGTACAAACTTTGAACAGGAGGAGTTCGATATGCACCAGTGCACAAACGTAATGCTTGATGGTGGATTGGATCCAGCATCCGAAGAGTAGATTCTCGCTCAGAGCCATAAACAATGCATCCGTAATCCAGCTTTGAGCGGACAAGAGCCCTGTAAATTCTGATCATAGACCTTTTGTCTGTTCCCCAGGATGAGCAGCATAGCACCTTTATAAGGTTCAGAAATTTTAGACATCTACTCTTTAAATTGTGCGAGTGCGGTATAAACGTCAGTTTAGAGTCAAATATAATGCCCAAAAACTTTGCCTCGTTGACCATTGGGATTTTAACCCCATTTAGGTGGATTTCAGGATCCAAGTGCAAACTACACCTTCAACAGAAGTGGATGCACGAGGTCTTCTCTATGTTGAAACTAAAACCATTAATCTTTGACCAATGTTCTATGCGATTTACACCCGTATTCACCAATGCAAGTTAGTGTTAGAGTTAGGGTAAACTCTCGAGTTACCGGTAAATTGGTATTCACCAACTCCAAATCTCGAGTCAAACACAATAACCCTAACTCTAGAAAATCGGCGAGTAGACGATAACTCTAGGTTTGACGCCTGTGCAAAGCGGTCTATTTCAGAGAAAAATGGCGACATTCGACGAAGACAAAGCCGAGATTCTAGAAAATCTGAAATATTTAGATTATATAGATCGTACAGAACAAAGAAGTCAGTGGATTATTTCTCCAAGAAGAAATGACCTCGATTACAACTTTCTATGTCGATATCGTTTGCCAAAAGAGAGCATAAGAAACCTATTAGACCGAATTGGTCACAATTTAGTTTCTACATCATCGAGAAATTATGCGATGTCGCCGATGGAACAACTGTTGTTGGCTCTACGTTTTTTTTATACCACTAGAACATTTCAGTTGGTCGTAGGCGATTTAAATGATTTAAGTCAATCATCTGCATGTAGAGCGATTTTTTTTTAATTGTGAGTTTTTTAATTGCTCAACTCTCCTCAGATTATATTCAGTTGCCTAAAACAGAATCTGAAAGAACGCAAGTAGGCCTAATATCCCTTTATTTTTCGATACTGTAGTAATAAAATAATTTATCTTGTTTTTTTTACAAGTTTCTATATTAG